ACGAATCTGAGTGATTCAGTCAGGCAATTTAGACGATCAATTGCATATTTTATCTGCGACTGTGTCATGTTATTAAACACGACTCGCAAGCGTCAAGCCGCATACTTAAAACATCATTTGATGCAAAATATGGAAATCAGCAAAAGAATACAAATGTCAATGGATAAAAAAGACTTTAAAGCATCTGTATGTAAGACTTGATTTCCTTCACAGCGCTGACAGCTCAACTGCTCAAGCAAAGCGAATTAGCAAATTGCATAGTACATCTTAATATTCTAGAATAATTTATATAGTTCGTATATATACAGCATGATTCTAGCTGTGATCGATTGTACGCTTTTAGCGTTTCATAAATATACCAGTTAATTAAAATTGTAAACAACTGTAAACGTAACATATGAACGAAAAATGAAAATATCTTACCTTGAATAGTCAAAATAGAACAGAAGCTTTAAAATTTAACAAAAATTTGAAGATCCTGTCCATCGAAATTAAAAAGCACATGGATTTGAGCGAGTTTAAAATGTGTGTTCTACGCATAAAAAACGCGCACGACCACAATTCCTTGCGCTAAATAAAATTTAGTTCAGAACCCCCTCTCTGCACAAATTAGACTGCTGCTACGCTCGCTCGCTTCAGGCTCGCTCGCTCCGCAGCAAAAATCGATATGGTGCCTATTTTGTTTCCTACGTATGCCAACTTACAAGGGCCCAAATCATTTTATGGACCAAAAACTCGCCCTACGGGCTCGGTCTCCCACTGATTATTTCTCGTTCTCACAAACTCCACGCGTGTTTCCATAACTGTATAGAAACACGGAAAATGTTTTCTATTTCTTAAGTGTTATTGTATTAATTTTGGAGTTGTAATGATTATTATGCTGTTTTAATTGAAATCCCTTGTTTCAATTAGATGACTGTTTTATGGTTGGATTTGTGTTCATCAGGTTGTAATCCCCGAGCCGGTGCGAAGCACCGGGCGAGGGTACTAATTCCGCCCGGAGATTTTAATTACGCCCGGGAATGCAAATGCGAAATGAATGTTGTCCGCCATTATGTCAAGGACGTTGGGCGTTTTTGTAAGTTATGCGCATGCGTAAGTTTAAGACGAGTTAAAACTGGTAACTAACAAACGTTTGGAGTCGTGCGATTGGCTCAATTAAAATTTTGGTTCGCGTCAGCATAACTGATATTTTGAATTATAAAACTTTTTTAAAAATATTTTCATTTGGATGGTATTGAAAATATACGGAGAAATTCAATCGTAAAATTCATTAAAATGTAAAGTAAATGATGCTTTCGGATTGAAAAACTTAGATTCAAATAGATGGTAAAAAATCTACGATTTTAAAGCATTTTTGGAGTGTTTTTGAACAGGTAAATGGGTGGATTTTGTATTTTAAAGCATGCAAGTATTTCGTAAGTTTAACTTGTAGATTTATCAACAAATGTACGGCACCTCTTTGAATTTATTCGTCCGTTTTGTTAAAATTATTTTGATTGGGAAAGCATTTATTTTTAACGGTGAATCTGTTTAAAAAGGAATTGAGATTTCGCTAAAAATTGTAGTATTTAAAACTATTCGTAGCAGAATTAATGAATTACGATTATAGTTGAATGTGATAGCTCGAGAGTCGACTTTCTAATTGTACTTGATATAGAATTTTACTCATACGACTTCGACCATTCAGCAGAAACGAGTATTATAGAATTTCACTAATCGAAATATAGGTTTATTACTTCAGGCGAGGGGATTTTGCATGCATGTATTTATAGTAATTAATTAACATCTCACTTGAAATACATGCATGCAGCAACCGCTCGCCATTTTAAACGACGCAAAATATTCGTGCGCTACCCAGATTTAACTTTCAATGCTATAATATTACGAAATACCTCGTGCTAATTTTTCGGAAACAAAGACAGTCGTATAGGTGAACAGAAATCACCTGTTTGCCTGCTGCATTATGTTGCAGTGTGCAAAAAGGAGCATGATTGTAATCATTAGCACTACCATACAAGTTGCCACTGGATGATGTCGGTAAATTTCTAAATGTACTGGGTGCACTGTGGGAATTAGAACTTTCTATGCATGAATCCTTACAACAATGTAAGGATTCAGGCATAGAAAGTTCTGTATTGTATTGTATTGTTTGAGCTTAAATCAATGTTTTTTTCCATAGGAGCAATATCATTGTGTGTATTTGATTGCGTACTAATTGCGTCATTTTCATTTAAGTTAGATTGATAATTGTTTTCAATGGTGGTTATATCTTGTGTCGGTGACATATTAATGAGAACAGCCTTGTTGGTAGTACTCACTGAACCATTTCGATATGTGTTAATCAGCTCAATTTCCTGCTGAAGACGCTTTATTTCTCGCTTTAAACACGTATTTCTAGATCTTTCATCTTCTAAATCTAGTTTCAACAGTTCTATTTCGTTGCTTAATTCACACACTCTCGGTGTTACTGCGTTCTCCTGCGAATTTAATGGACTTTGTATAGAGTCCACTCTACTTTTCAAAATTTCCATATCTTAAATTTAAGTTGTCTAAACTCTCATTCTCAGCAGCACAGCTAGCTTTATTCATCTTTATATCTATATATTGTTTTATTTAGCATTTTTTAGCTCGCTTACCAATTTCACCGTTAAACGTCAAGGTGTTACACTTTCCAGGATACTACGTAACTTCAAAATCAAATGCGGTAGAATCAAATTTTTTCGAGGCTTCGAGCTACCACCTGACGACCTCCATTTCCCATGGGATCGTGCACGAGGACAGAAAATATTTTCGATAAAAACTTTTAACGAATCGTAGTTACCAAACCATTTAACTCTTGTTCCATCGTAGGCAACGCTATTTGATAATATGAACTCTTTTAATTTATTAAGATCAAAGTATTCACTTGGATTATTCACCAAATTATCGGAGCTAAAATCAATACAACTGTCCGCTATGATAATTTAGTCAATCTTCCCGTCTATCAATGTTCCCGTCCGTCTATACGGACGTTATTAAATCACCCATCATGGCGGATGGACACAGTGTTCATAGCTCCGAGTTGATAAATAAAAATCTCATTGATGCCTTTGATTTCCTCAATATAAATAAGTATATAACATCGGATAATATTTCTTACGATGGTAAGCGAGTTAAATGGCAGGATAGCTACGAATCCTTACAAGATTTTGTGGCGAATGCCTTCGGTCAACAAGGAAAGTGGCGGCGGTCAGGAGGCAGTTCAAAGTGTTTTGATGCCCATAGTACAGATCTATCTAGACATGGTATCCCGGAAAGTTAAATACCTTAACTTTCAAAGGAACAGCTGGAGAAACAGCAAAAGCCTGTTTGATCGACCTATTGACGCCACCCAAAGATGTGCCGGAAAATGCTTTCAACAGTATTGTCCATCATGATAACAACTGTGTATATTTGGAAAGTATAATGTTGGAGATTGAAATTCTGAATAGCAAGGTCGACTCAATGCAGGCCCTGAGGCATGGTAACATATCCAATGGTCTGGGTCACGAATCGGTGCTTGAATATCAAAACCATAACCGTATAACGAGGGGCTTAACAGCTGCTAATGATTCAGTCATCATTGTTACTGATGACGAACAAATTAAAATGATCCAAATGCTGGTCATCTCCCTAATGCAAGTAAAAGCCACCACTGTCTTAGTCCAAATTTTGATCAACTAAATGCAAATCAACTAAATGCGAATGATTCACTAAGACAACAGGTTTATCATTACCGCGTTAAACAACACAAAGCATTCCTTCAAAAACACGATTGTGAAAGCGAATTGCGCAAGATACCTTTCCCTGCAAGACCTAGACGTCGCGGCTCTATACCTGGAATTCAAGACTCAAATCACCCCTCTATAACTGATCGACATCTAGTCAGAAAGATCCAACTAAAAGATCCAACTGCTGGTCATCTCCCAAATGCAAGTAAAAGCCACCGATGTCTTAGTCCAAATCTAGATAATCTGAATGCAAATCAACAAAATGCAAATGACTCACTAAGTCAACAGGTTCATCATTACCGCGCTAAACAACACAAAGCATTCCATCAAAAGCAAGACTGTGAAAGCGAATTGCGCAAGAAGCCTTTCTTTGTAAGACCCAGGCATTGCGGCTCTATACCTGGAATTCCAGACTCAAATCACCCCTCTATAACTGATCGACATCTAGTTAGAAATCGTGATCAAAATTTCTTATTAAAAGCGTCCAGGAAGGTTGAAATGGGTGAAATATATCTTTACTGAGGATCTGATCAAAATTTCGTAGGCAAAACCCTTGTAGTGATTCAGTCATGCAGGATCATTCATAATGATTCTGTTTTTAGTGGCCTGAGCATTTTGTTGGATGCCGGACGTGTAATATGAAATGCAGAATTATACTTCAAACCATCTTATTTATAAGTTTTCTTCGTTTCTTCATCAAATGAAGTTCGTAACCTAAAGGTACTTGAATAAAAATTCCAAAATCCTGCAATACCCGCGAACATCGTCTGCTCTAATATGCGATTATCACATGCTCAACTCCTGCTGAACCTAGCTGCTTTTTCTGGAACTTCCCAATTTCATCAAACCGCCTAAATCGATTCGTTGTCTTCAAGCAGTTTGAATAAGAGTGCTTATGCCACCGTTCCTTCTCATCGTTAATGACCAAAGCTGCTAAAACCTTGCACGATTGTTAAATATACAAACTTCCATCAACACGATCTTATGGAATAGAATGCAATAAGTTCATGAAATTTAATTTTATGAATAGCTCGGTTATTTATGCCCGCATGCATACCTACAACCTGCTCGTGTTTTCGTCTTGAAAATAATTGAAACAAAAAATGCTCTGAATGCAAAAACTTGGTGTTATTACGGTTCCTATGTATAGTCTTTAGTTTATTATAAACCAATACTGGATATTTTTGTTTGCTGAGTACCTGCTGGTATACACGAATAAGTTTCAAAAGAGGAGAATCTATATTATTTTTACCAAGAGTGTGGTTTACCCAAATAATTTCCAATATTCAATCTGTATTTGTCTGATTCATAAGCAACACTAAACGTCCCATATTTAGCGTAAGCCTCGGTGCCATTGAAATCCATCAAATCAACTCTTAGAACATTTTGACAAGATTTGGACAAACGATGTATTTTATCAAGGCCCAGCCAGAACTCCCCGTTAAGATCACCGAAGCCTGCTTTGTAGTCTGACCATCCAAGGAAGAAATTTTGACTTCCATCTTGTCTTCTTTGAAACACGGTCCAGCCTCCTCTGTCTCTGTTCATAATACAATAGACTTGAAACGATCCCAGGCCATCAGGATTGATCATATAAACACCATTATGCCTCATTCCGCATTTATAATAATGGGCGCAACTGGCTGCATGAGTTCGAACACAGACGTCTAGAGAAGCATAAATTGGCACTCTATGAACCCGGTGTAATGATTTAAGACGCACATATCCCATTTAATGATCAATTTACGGCACCTTTAGCTTCCAAATTCGGAGTCAGGTCATCCAAGTGAGCCGTAAGTTTTGCAAAGGCGGAGTTAAGCAAGTTTAAGCTATAAACGACAAAATGACAATGGCCATGTTACACGTGCAATTTTTCTTGCAACTTGCAATGCAATCCTATTTTCAAGAGATGTATATTAGTGCAAAGAATTCAAAATGTATGTGTAGGAAATGTACATGGGGTGTAATAAACATAAAGGTTTCGTAGTTGCCAAATTTACATTTATCAAAAGTAGAATTGCATTGCAAGTTGCAAGAAAAATTGCACCATGTAACATGGCCTTAAATCTTATCATAATAATATAATTACGAACTTATTTTTAAGGGGGTCAACTAGTGATTTGCAAAAAAACTGAACAACCCTTGAGGAAAAAAGAAAAGCTGGGAAAGTGAAAATAAAATAGTCTCAATGTACATAATATTAGTCTAGGAAATCTGTATTTTGACAAAAAACTATTATGCTTGCATTGAAAATTATGCCCTGAGAAATCGCGATAAAGAGATACAAAAATTTTATCATGCACGCTTAATAATAAACAAATAATCATGCGATATTGCTCGAAGAATTAGGGATTAATACTACTCGCTCCGGTGGCTGGTACAATTATTGCAAATTTCTAAACATCATGCACTCGTACTATTAATCCCGATTTTACTCGCCATCGCACGATTACTTATACAAATTTTGACGCTTTGATGATAGGTTAGCAAGCTATATAACACGGGACTTTGCAAAATAGGAAAGTAAAAGAAAAAGAGAAGCGAGAAATTTTTGACTAAAAATACTATTGTAGGCTTAAGATTAAAATTATGATTGATTAGTAGCTACAAGGTTGTATGGGAAAGGTGAAAAAATGATATTCTAGAAATGGCTCCTAACTTTGATAACTACTACCTTTTTCTCTTCTGCAATTGCATTCCATCTTTCATTTGATCTTACATAAAGTTTTTGATTGTCCTTTCGAAATTTTAATATTCCTAGGACTGCTGGAATTTTACCAACAGTCTTATTATCAGGAACAACTATAATCTGGGATAAAAAGGGATATTCAAAAATTATTTTATTAAAGCTAGAAAAATAGTATACAATAGAAAGCACAACAACAATTGATAGTAATGATTTAAAAATGAAGTCGTAATGGATCAGGGCGGAGAATTATTACTATTATATCATGTTATTACTTACTCCATCAGTCAAAAGCGGCTCGTTTCAGGAACAACGACCCTAAAAGAAAGTAATACATAATTACTTGGAAGGCCCGGCCGCTTTCCGCCACGGACAGCGAAGCAAAGTTCGTGCTGAATACAAATGGTATTCAGGATTTGTATTCAGGCAAAGTTCGTGCTGAATCTGTGGTATACAAATAGATCAATCAAAACGAAAGTTTACAAAAAATGAATATATTTTTTGAGGGCTCAGACATTAAAAATCCCTACCCTAAAAACTACAAAATTTCACCTGTTTCGATACATTCTCGTCCCAGCCCTGGGGATGAGGATGGTTTCGATAATAACCCGGTACCCTAGCTGTTAACGGTGTCCAGGATTATTTGTACTCGGCTTAACCCTCTTGGTTAATGATGAGGTCACTATATAAGCTATTATTCTAAATACGATAGAGTTTTCCGTTTATACGTGAACTTAATGTCACTAGTAAGAAATGTTATAAATAGAAATTTGACCAGAAATAGAAATAAATAGAAATAACCACAGGTATAATATTAGCATAATCAAAAGCTTAAAAATATCTATAATATTAATTTTATTGTTTTACAAAGAATCCTCGCGGGAGTGAATCGTCTCGCTATAGCCTATAATCATAATATTCATCAATTGATGTTTTGAAATACGTTACTGAGGGGCTGTTTACATGTGTCAAGTTGGCGAAGCGTATGATGATTTTAAGGTATTGGAATAAGTCTTTATTAAATCAAACAAGCGCAAGCTATTGTGAAGCTAAGATGATTACATCACAGGATCATGTGATACATATGTATACTTATTTCATTTCCTCAAAATCATCATTCACTTCTTTCAATCAATATTAAACGAGCTTATGTAAGCAGCCCCTGGCTTTACATTTCGTAGATGCATGGTAACATTTTTGACTGTGAGAAGGAAGACCTCCGACTTGGGTTTCAACAACATCTTTTGATGGTTCATGTGCTACAAAACTGTATTTTAATCAAAAGTTTCAAACCTATTCATTTGGTTAGGGTTTTATGATCCCGGATACTCGAGATTAAAGCAGGCGTGAAATGACTTTCAGGTATTGAAAAAAGTAAATAACATGATCTCTGGCAGTCACCTAAACTTCCCGGAATTAGATGTTATTGCTTTTATAAGCACTTACTCAAAGTTAACACAAGTAGACAGGTCTGAATTTTTGCATTCTTAGTCCCTAGTAACTATCACTGACTTAGGTCTGTTATTATACTGTTATTATACCAATTGAGTATTTTTTGCGACAGTATGATAGTACTAGTAAACAATCACAAATTGATTTGCACGCATTATTCTGTTTCCAATTAGAAAAAATCAACACACTCGATGTTCTTGCCAGTAAATATGTTTATGATGTCCCTGCCAAAGCTCGTTCTTTTCTTAGAACAGGTTTGGACGAATTTTCATCTCTGTTTCTTTCTCAGGAATATAGTGCAAGCTGCCCCATATTATTCCGCTGCTACCAGTCTGACCTGCACCAAGGTACAGGCCATTCAGGTTAGACCGATAACAATGTTTGTACCACCAAGCTCCTTTGTATCTCGTAGCACAATTATTACCGTCAGCATCATTGTCACTATCCTTGGTAGTGAACTGCATTTGATTGTGATAAGCAAGAGAATCAACTTCGTTACCTTTTAAGCAATACAATAAAATCTTCATTGGAAAAAAAGATTAAAGCAAAAGAAAATATTATTATTTAAATTTTGCATGATGAAAATTAATGCAAAGTAGGGTAGTAGCAGTGAAGTCATTGCTGTTAAATCGCATCGACGTAGGTTCAATTCGACGAGGCAAACCAAATTTGCCTGCCTTTCCTGCAATTTTGCCAGTTTGGTTTACTCGATCTCTATACGGCTAATCTGCGCGCTATCGATTGGATTGCGTTCATTCACCGTGTGAAAACCTGCTACATTTGTCAATCGGGGGAGCTCTAAATCATCTTGAAGGTCTGTAATTTTATCAACCGCTCGGTCAATTTTCTGGCCATGCTGTTTTTAGTGGTCAAGCGCTTTGTGAAATTCCTAGAAATATTCATATGAAATGGAGAATCTTTTTAAGCCATTCTTAGTTATCCTTCGTTTCATTAAAAAGATATTAAGTTCAACTTTAACAAATCGTAATGACAAAATGTGTAATAATCTTGCATTGTGCCCCAAAAGTAGCACAGAGAGAGAATGCAAGATAATTAATTTTTATGAATCGCTTGATTACCTCCTCGTTTTTTGTCACGAAAATAATAAACGAATTATTAAAAATAATTAAAATGCATAAAAATTAATATGGTGAATGCAAAACTAGTGGTGGTGTTATTAGCTGTGAAAACCAGCGTACAACCATGAAATATGATGTTTAAAATCTTTATGCATAAACTGCGTGATATAGTTCTTAAATGACTTGATATAAACAAATATTTTTGTTGAAATTAGCGTGATTCGTGTAATCGCTGCATACCTGCTATTATGTACGATTAAATAAAATGTCAAAATCTATCCCAGGGTTTGATTTACCTGAATAACTGCCAATATTCAATCTGTATTTGTCTGATTCATCAGCCACACTAAACGTTCCATATTTAGCGTAACGTTCAGCGCCATTGAAATCCATCAAATCAACTCTTAAAACATTTTGGCCAGATTTCCACAAACGATGTATTTTATCAAGGCCCAACCAGAACTCGCCGTTAAGATCACCAAAGCCTGCTTTATAGTCTGACCATCCAAGGTAGAAATCTTGACTTCCATCTTGTCTTCTTTGAAACACGGTCCAGCCTCCACCGTCTGTGCTCATATTACATCTGACTTGGAACGATCCCTGGTTGTCAGGATTGATGGTATAAACACCATCTTCCTCTCTCCTAATCCGTACAGATGGGCGCAGCTTCTAGCTAAAGAATTGTAAAATATCAAAGAATAGATCGATATGCGATATCCCCTGGAAACTGACGTTGTTGGCAATTGAAACTATTTGACTGTTCCAGTCTTTAGAGAGAGTTAAATTTGCATGTATATGAATAGAAAATTCTTAGGCACAGTGAGCAACACAGTGTACTTCAGCATATTTTATAAACGTAACAATCGGTTTACGAAGGAATCAGTAGAAAATCGTAAGACAGTTGGAATAAAAAGAACCGTCTAAGTTGTATATAATTATTTTTATTGCAGAAAAAAACCAAAATCTTCAACAGAATCCAATGCTTATAGATTCAATCGTTGATTCATAAGTATCATTTAAAAAATTAATGATTTTAAGTTTTACGTGCGTGTACGAATGTAAGAACGCGACAGCGGAAAGCAGCGCTTATTTTTGATGCTATGACGTCGTTCGTTAGACATGACGGTTCCACACATGCATGGGCTGTTAGGGTTAAAAGGCTGTGAATTAGTTTTAAATAAATAATAACGTATGATAATGCGTGCGTAAGAGGCTAAGGGGAGGAATGAGAGAAAGTTTTACTGCAATTGTCCTTCCTTGAGAATACCTGAAGTGTCATTTTTGCTCTTCTCGTCCTCCTTTCTTTCCTAAAAGAGAATGATTTTAGGGTCTGTTCACAGATCCAATTTTTTGTATCCAATTAACCTCTGACGTATGGAATATAGTGGTAATTCATAAAGCAGAACTGCGTTAGCTTCAGTGCTTTGCTGCCCATATACAAGACAATTAACAGACTATAAAACATCCATCAGAAGGGAAAATGATCCAACAAAATTCGATTTGTGTGAAGAGACCTTTGGAAATGATTGCATGAAGTACGCTGGAGTACGTATGACGAGTAAAACATGAAAGTTTAGCTAACGTTCGTCGTCTGGATGAGTTTTTTTTGCTGCCTAAGTTAAAGGTTTAATTTTACGACTTATCCGCTATATATTTCTCTCCACACAAGCTCTTTATAAACATAACTTTGCAATACATACCGCTTTATTATCGTATCCATTTCCCTTCTTCCGTTGTTTCAACGTGATTTCCCTTTCCAGTGATGTTGGTCAGTTGGCAGTTCACAACATTGATCTTGTCTCTGTAGTTGAATCCAACACATTTCGGTTCCTTTTGGCAGAGTTCGTAACATTCTATCGGGAGAATTCCGTAGTTGACGGTATGATTTGATGATTTCTTCTGGACGTAAAGACGGACCTCCTAAAAGTAGCAAAAATGGTAAGGAAAGGAAATATTCAAAGGAAAAAGTTCTCCAACATTGGAACCCGATTCGTTTTAACTAGGAAAAGCAACCGAGATATTACCGTTTCTAATAGTAATAAAAATCGGAAGAACATTTCTGTGAAGAGATACGTGCAATTTTGATTATCAGTAAGATCAAGGTTATTTCTTTAAACATGATTTCACGAGGTCGTCAACTAGCTGTGCTTTCTTCGACAAGCAGTCGCTGAAATGACACTTACATACAATCAACAAAGCAGGTATAAGTCAGCAGGTCTGGGCGTAATTATGCTAGTTATGAATATTTTATACTCTATTCATTGTAATGAGCAAGCGCATGTGTGCAGTAATAATTTCTGGTTTCATGTCTTGCGCGGAAAAAAAAAAAGACAAAATCACGCACGAGTAGCAGGAGAAGGCCGCAACATTTTTGTCTTCTGAAGCTGTAGCGTCCGCTGTGCATTACTGCAGTACACATGACGTGCAGTTATTTTATATATCAACGACTAGACGTTGAATATTTTATTATTTTTATTGCGATGTCATACTCGTTGTTGAATAATGCACTTATCGACTAATGCACTTTTGACATTAAGCCCGCCGCAAACAAGAGCTATCAGCTGTGCTAACGATTTCGCGAGGCAGTTAGTTCAGCCCGAAAACATGAGCTAACAGCACACGAGGTCTTTAGCTCAGCTGTGTGCGGCGGGTTTAAACCATACCTGTTGTAACGTACATAAAAATATCTGAAGCAAAAATATGGGACAAACCATTTTGATCTTAAATCCTCCTTCTCAACCGCCTTTTTCTGTAGTCCACATAATAGTCTCACTACACCACATACCCTACACTTTCAATAATATAAAAAACTAAGCTAATATATTATTTCTCTCTTGCGTAACTCGTAACTCATATATCGTAAAAATAGTTTAGTTTCTCAAAAGCGAAGCCGAAAGTTATTTTGACTAGGCTGAAAAGGACAAAAAACCAACCTTTCTTTGAGGGATTTGACAGATTTGTATTGCGACTGCTGCCTATGACGCGTTTCTCAAAATTAGGCTCGCAGGTATATTTCATGACTTCATGACAACCGAGAACAAATTCTGTGCATTATTTTTCATTCATCAATATGGACACAAGCAAATTATTTCTTATGTGTTTAAGCGCTGTCAAATGTGTATGCGCAATACTTTTGCGTTTTCGAATCATGCACATCATCAAATATTAACTTTCCAAGTTAGAAAGCGTCTCGTTCTAAATGGATAATCTGTACTTCTACGCATTAGCTTTTCGGTAATTATGATGTTAATATTTATCATAATAAATATAATAAAACATTAATGAACTCAAGCAATTGACGATTTTGACTACACGTACGTTGACCGGAAGCAAAGTTTTTGTTTTTCACTAATAACAATCCTTGACCCAGTCTTTTGACATAACTGATGCCGTTCGTATTGTATAAAACTTCACGTAAGCTCGACAAACGTTCATTTATTAGACAAACGTTTTACACTGGTCGTAATCCATCAACACCAGTGTCTTAAGATACCCAGCGATGTCACAAAAACGAGCTACATTCATGGAGTATGCCGCTTTCCTAATTCCTATGTGGAATCACAGGCTCGTATCAAAATGGCTGCCATTTTAGGGGCGGACTAAATATCAAATCACTCAGTGCATGATAGTATCAAACATTTAATAGTTGAAAAAAATGCAACTGTTGCTAAGAGCAAGTAAACTGCATTTTCTTATATTCTAACAAGCGATTCCAATGAGCCTGACGTCGAACACGCTGAATAAGATCGTGTGATTTATAACTTCTTATTAACCAAGCGCGACGTCTTTACCGAGAAATATTGGTTCGAGGTCTTTTTAAACCGACCGAGCTCGAAGAGCGTAGTTTGTACAAAAAGATTGAGGTGACTCTATTCAGGGCCGTAGCTAGAAGCTTAATTGGGGGTGGTGCATATTCATATATTCCTTATGCCCAAATGATTTCTTTTGTATGCTATTGTTCCTACGGTATACAAACATGAATATATAAATATACACCCCCCCCCAATTAAGCGGTCTAGCTACGGCCCTGACTCTATTCCCTCACGTGGTATACAAATCGATCAATCAAAACGTAAGTTTACAAAAAATGACTATTAAATATATTTCATCTCTACCGTAACAACTACAAAATTTCACCTGTGGACGATGGGGACGATTTCAGCCACGGAGACGAGGATGGTTTCGATAGTAACCCGGTACTCTAGCTTTTAACGGGGTGCAGGATTATTTGTACTCGGCTTAAAGTGCCTATATCACTCGTTGGATCTTTATGCATTTGAAGTGAACGTAAAAAGTTAGTTAATACATTAAAAAACATGTTTTGATTTAGTGCAATAATTTCGAAGATACAAGCCTCTAAACTACCTGCGGCTCCTGAGTCCCAACCTCCTGGGCTTAAACACGGCTATTCAATTTGAAACTGCCCATTGTTTACAGGAGCCTGGACTCGATGCAGTAGTTAAGGCTAGTCTTCAAAATTATTGCACTAAATCAAAACCTTTTTATATTAACTAACTTTTTAGATTCTTTTCGAATGCATAAAGATTCCACGAGTGATATAGGCACTTTAACCCTCCTGGTTAATGATGATGTCACTATATAAGCTATTATTTCTAAATACGATAGAATCTTTCGTTTATACGTGAACTTACTGTCACTATTAAGAAATGTTATATATATATATATATATATATATATATATATATATATATATATTTATATATATATATATATTTATATATACGTATATAATATCACTGTAAATCTAAGAGTGTTGGCACAACACCGAAACCGGTGTAAAATCTTGCAGCAATATGAGCACCAATATGGGTTTTTTTATGCTATATTTTGGGTTAAGTTACACTATTTATGGGTAAAATTTATGCAGCCATGTGTACACTATCGCGGTATAAATATACACCATTAGTGTAAACTAACACCTCTAGGTTTTCCTACACCTATTTCGCGTAAAAACTCTTGCAGCAATATGGACACCAACTTCGTGTATAAATACACCGCGAGAGTAGACTTACCCCTCCAAAGGTTTTCTACGCCTATTTAGTGTAAACGTGCTTGCAGCAATGTGGACACCGACCTGGTGAATAAATACACCGCGAGGGTAAACTTACCCTTCCAAAGGTTTTTCTACGCCTATTTAGTGCATATATGCTTGCAGTAATATGGACACCGATCTGGTGTATCAGTACACCACAAGAATAAAATACTCTTCTAAACAATGGCCTGGTGCGAAATTAATTAATTCTAGTGCAGTGGTAACATATTAAACATATTTATTTCTATATGACAGAATATATTACATTGTACATAACAAATGTACAAACTAGCCATATAACATGCATTAATGCCTATTATCATTCACTTTATAGTATTCT